CCTGTAAAAAAAAAAAATATTGTGAAAATACAATTTTGGACGCACCTTAGTTGCGTTCGAGGATTGGCCTTCTTTTTGGTGAGGACAATTATTGTTTAATGTTATCATCCCCGTTTCTATTCCGCGACGAACGTAGAATTGTATTGGGAATAATACGAAGCCAGAATAAAATATTTTAAGTGATTCGAGAATCGTGATCGAGGAGAGAACGATTCTTGAGAGATTTTGTATTTTTGAGAAAATAATTCATCACTTGTGAGAGTATTCTGATAACTGACCTTTACTTCTTGTGAACCGCATGTTAGTGTGATAGTATTAATTAAGATTAATGACCTTCGTGAATGTGGTGTTCATCATAATAAATTGTAACTACTGTAATGATAGCATGATAACAGTAGTTGTGCTCCCAATTTGAATATCTTCTGTATGTATATGTACATAAAATCTAACACAAATCTTGCATCAATGACAATGTATATCGTACATTATACAGTAATTAATCGTAATGGTGAAACTAAAACTAAGCAAATGCTGGAGAGCGTTCTAAACTTTTATAGATAGTCATTTATAAATCGAGACGTTTGAATAATAAAAAAAAAGCAAAAGAAAAAGTGAACACTGTATAATGAAACTGTATTTGAATGCTAAGATTCGTGTTGATTCTATTTAACTTAACTTGACCACTCGAAAGTTTACAAATTAATATAATCATATAGATATATATGGACTATATTGTGATCCATTAAAGAATTCTGTACCTAAATAAATTCAATTACGATAAATTGTGATTAAACTGTAGTTTTACGTAGAATTTATGTAGAAAGAATAAAATATTATTATATTACTCTATGATGCACACTCCTAATCCCCATCAAAATTGGAATAAAACAATTTCAACGGAATTTATTTTATTTAAGATTTAAAATTACAATTACTCACACACAAATAAATTAAAAATATTCACTTATCGATTGTAAATCGAACGACAGCAATGAAATTAGAAACAAACGAAGTTGGCAATGCTGTACGGCAATCGCTACGATCCTAACCTACAAGTAATGTTTTATACGTTTTTCGCGATGAATTTTTACGGGTTTTATGAATTTGTATTTAATGACATTTGATAGAAGTTGTATAAAGAATTGCAGTTTATAAAAAGATTCTGATACCGGCAATCTGTTGTACTGAGAATCAAAAATATGATTCACAGAAAACGTTTGCATACTGTCGCATAGTGTTGACATGTAACAAGGAGGTTGTAAGTAACACTTAAAATATAATTATTGAACAATGGATGACCATTTCGATATACCTAATATGAAAATGAGCGCTAATGAGTTGCTCGCTTTTCAAAGAGATCTGAAGCAGGAAAGGGAACTTCTTTTGAAATTACTGACAAAAATTGAAACCCAAGTACACAGACTACAGGTAAGTAGTTTAATTAATAGCACGTTTACTATCTCCTTAAAATATTTCTTACTCAAAATTTCAAAGGTGGAACAGCTTCATTTACTCGGAGTAATGAACAAATTACTGAAGGATTCTGAAGATAAGTCTCCATCATATGAATCTGAACATGAAAACGAAGAAAACCTATCGAATACATCTTTGAACTTATCGGTAGCCTCAGCTTTAAAATACTTTGAAGAAGAAGAAGAAGAAGATGATGAAGATGAAGATAATATTTAATACAATTACAATACAAGTATGATAAATAATATACTTTATCTATGTGACAGGAAATTTCATTAACTTAAATCTTTTTTAGAGATAGTCTTTCGACAGAAGCATTACATTTAAATATAGTGTATTGTTAAATTTATTGTACTGGTAATATATTATATTTACTGGATGTGTCAATTTGTAACAGTCCTTAAAAGAATACAAAAAGGAATCACATTAAATGAGAAACAAACTATTATTATTTCTTAAGTCAATATATCCCATTGTCTATACAAATTTTATATACTAGCAATCACAAATCTTTCAATTACACTTGTTTCAGTGAATATGAAAGATTTGTATTGAATTAGTTGAACATAGTCTGCAATGTGTCTAAAATATGTTTACCCGCTGACTGAATCATCCGGGAGGGAGAGAGGCTTATACTGCTCTGCACTATAACGTGTTATACATATCCCTAAACCTTCGATTAAAGCCAATATCACCCCACCTATGAATGCACTACCGGCCATTGCTACTAAACCATTTCTTGCCGACAATATACCACCAGCTGCTGCACCACTGATAATAGAATTCCAAGGATCTTCCTTCTTCCTTATATGAACCATTGTGCAATCTATTGTAGAGAACACTACGCCCCATGTTGCAAAACTTCCAGCAATAATCGGCGACCGTTCTTTAACAGCCATCACACTTCCCAAAAGTCGTTTATTTATTCCCGCAGGTGCATTATGAAAACCTTTAATACTTTGAAAAATTCCACTGCCAATTGCACCCATTGTGAATGCACCACCACAGTCGTCCATTATACGCCAAGGACATGGTTCTCTCGAGTATTCTGCCATATTTCAATTGACTATCTGTAAAACAATAAAACGTAGATCCATTAGCATAATACAATAAAAAATCACCGGATAAACAATGCAATAGCAAAATTCTTTAATTCTATTCATCTCTAAAGAACCCATATAAACGTAACCTTTAATTCTACGTATCCGTAGGTCACAATTAAATGCGTCGTCTTTTTATGCCTATTCTAAAATTACGCTTTTTTATACGTCAATAGTCATCAAGCATATACATTAAAACTAAACATATTCACGTAAATGAGGTTATGTACCGGTTCCTCGTGCACAATCGAATTACACGTGCATAACAATTCGAAACGTTAGGATATATTTGCGAAACAAATCATATCCGACACGATACTCGAATGTTCCCTTTTCAATTATTAAATTATTTCTTGTAAAATACCTTTTACACAACGGTGCGAAATGCCTTCGATACGACGTCGATCGTGCGTGACTACGTTAATGAATTTTCAAACTGAATTACGAATAGTCTCTCTAGAGACACAGTGATTACCATCCGAGTAAATAAAAAGTTTCTTATCCTCGATATTAATTATTCTCATCAACGTTCCATGCGTGTAATTTCCCTTAAAACACTTCTCTTGATTAAGCTACGATTCATTAAACATAAATGATGCTTCTTCAATTCTAAGTACACGTTCTATGACA